CTCTTCTGCTTTTGAAATAGCAATTTGAAAAATCTCCCCTTCCTGATTTTCTACAAGATCTTCAGAAGATTACTGAAGATCATAGAATCATAGAATCTTAGGGGCTGGAAGGGACCTCGAGAGATCATCTAGTCCAACCCCCCTGCCAGAGCAGGGTCACCTAGAGTACATCACACAGGAACTCATCCAGGTGGGTTTTGAATGTCTCCAGTGAAGGAGACTCCACAACCTCCCTGGGCAGTCTGTTCCAGTGCTCTGTCACTCTCACAGTAAAAAAATTTTTTCGGATATTCACCTTGAACTTCCTATGCTCCAATTTACACCCATTACTTGTCCTATCCCTCTACCATCATCTATCCACCTAGTAATTTCCTCATAGAAGGCTATGAGGTTAGTCAAACATGATTTACCCTTGATAAAACCATGTTGACTGCTCTTGATGACCCCCATGTCCTTGATGTGCCTGGAGATAGTGACAAGAACAAGTTGTTCCATCACCTTTCCAGGGATGGAGGTGAGGCTGACCGGTCTATAGTTACCCGGGTCCTCCTTCTTGCCCTTCTTGTAGACTGGAGTGACATTTGCTATCCTCCAGTCCTCAGGCACCTCACCTGTTGCCCATGACTTACTGAAGATGATGGAGAGTGGCCTAGCAATGACCTCCGCCAGCTCCCTCAGCACCCTTGGGTGCATTCCATCTGGACCCATTGATTTATGGATGTCCAGATTACTCAACTGATCCCTAACCCAATCCTCATCTACCATGTCAAACTCTTCCTCTATCTTGACTTCTTCTGGGGCTATATGAATCTGGGGCTCATAGGGAGACCCTGCAAGAGTGAAGACAGAGGCAAAGAAGGCATTCAGCACCTCTGCCTTCTTTATATCCTCTGTCACCAGGGCTCCCACCTCATTCCTCAATGGGCCAATATTGCCTCTATTGCTAGTTTTGCTAGCTATGTATTTGAAAAAGCCCTTTCTATTATCCTTAACCTGACTTGCAAGGTGAAGTTCCAAGGAGGCCTTAGCTTTCCTAATTGCCTCCCTACATCCTCTGACAACAGTCCTATATTCCTCCCACGTGACCAGCCCCTCCTTCCATGATCTGTAGATTTTCCTTTTCCACTTAAATTTGCCCAGTAGTTCCTTCTTTAACCATGCAGGTCTCCTAGCACAAGATGAAGATGAAGAAACACAAATTTCATTCAAGGTGAGAAACCAGCATGATTACAGTTCATCATCTCAAGCACATAATGGAAAGATTGCCCATTGCATCCTTGTGTCTCCTGTTCCCTGAATGCTGTGTGTACTTCTAAACAGAGAAGTTATTAACTTTGCCTTCAATACAACCAGGACAGCATATTTTCGCACCAGATTCATCTGGAGTATTGGAAGTCTCTCACTGGCTTCCTTGACATTAGGGACTTGAGCTTCCCATATGTACAGGACATCTCTCCTTGCTTCTTAGTCTATTTAAATCATCATTGACTTTCCAGATCTTATTGACTGTCCTTCCTTCTCTCCAGGGATGTACAGAATTCCTGACCTCCTATGTTCGCTTTACCCTCATTTGCTCTATCTGCCCCCAGTTTAATTCTGCTGTGGTGTCAAATTTATCTTCACCTGATTTTTGCAGAAAATGCTCAGCCCATTCTATGTATATGCAGAGACTTACCTTGGGAAGTTGTCTCTCCTATTAACTTGCAAAATCTACAAGAGACAAGGACAGAGTTGCAAAAATGTAACTGAGAACAGAGGTTTTGCTACGACATTTGCTCTTGTGATTCAGGTTTTTCAGACTGTAGAACATAAACACACCATACCCATACTTCAATTCAGTATGCAATGTGCTCACTGAAAAGAAGAAAAAAAGCTTTCCACTCTATACAGCACTTCATAAATATGCATTTATTTCCTCATCTTTCATCAGTTTTACAGTTTTAACCAGTGCCTCAGTGTTAATATTTGTCAGAAGCAGACAATGGAACTTCAGTCCTGAAGCTAAAAACAAATTCATGGGCCTTTCCATAAGGAACTGAGCCAAAAAAAAATATTTAAAATGAAACCAATGTCTTGTAACATATTACAGAGTTACATAGGATTTCAATTTACATTTCTATCCTACTCCATGTACTGTATTTACACAGTTAACTAATTTGTTTATTATTTACATTTTTCAAATACTGTAGTCATAAATCTTTTAATAATGTACATTCTTGTTTAAATTTTTATTACAGAAATTCTTTAACACGCATTTTAGACACGACAATTTCAATATTTCACATAAGATCTAAGAAATTACTGCCTGGTTTTACTAGTGATGTGTCAAGATGCCTCCTTCATAAGAAAATACATATTACAAAGGAATTTTATAATATTCAGAAACTTGAATTTTGAAAAAAGGACATGGGATGCAGTAATGGTAACATTATTTCTGTTTCTATCTAATATTTTGTTTGGAGTGACATTTTACCTGAGATGTAGAACTGCTAAATGTAAGGTCTTTTATTTTTTAATAAAATGGAATATTTTTATGTAAATCTTAAAGTACTGAACATTAAAAATTTTACATAAATGTTGGCCTTCTACTTACTGAAAACGATTCCTATTTGTATAGATCATATTTTCCAGAAAAGTCTATATCTACATAGTTACGCATTGTTACTACATTAGGAAACTCCCCACTATCCTTAAAAAGCAATGTGCTCAAGTACAATATTCAACTTCTGACACAGACACAATAGTTAACGTGACCTCTAATGCTAATACTTTCTTCCAAGGGAAGTAAGAGGTACCTGTTGAATTTGGAAGACGTGGCAGACAACTGATGTGGACCCGAGGAGAGAAATTTTATATATCCAGTCCCATAAATGTTGCACATTCGTTACGCATCTGACACAGCAGACAACTTTGGGTCAACTCTCCATGTTACATGTAACTACCTAAGTAACATCTTAATATAAAAAGGTTAACCATAGAAAACTCTTACAACATTGTACATTTAATGCTGTGTGTCTTCTCTCATTTCAATAATATGCATTTCTATTAACAAATGACTGTAGATGCTAAGTTTAAAGCAAATGGTCATAAACTTCAGGTTTCTTTATTCCGTTATTGGTAGATATTCTGTTAGGCACAATATGACATTCTTTGTAAACATAAATTTCAATACATCAGACCACAACTGAAGTTACAGAAAACAGTACATGGACATTTAAGAAACACAGATCCACTACACACCTGAGGCACAAATGCAGCAATCAGGAGGCCTGAACTTGCATCCATTGGAACTGAAAACCCCAGCTGACACCATAGAATAGAAATGCATCCTAGTTACCAACCAATCCTGCTTCTTAATTAATTTTTTGAATGAAGTTTTTTCTCTCTTCTACCAAAGATTTAATATAATCTTAAAATACAGATCTCATAATCACATGTTGGTAAAAATGTATTTTATTCTATTTACCCTGAAACACCTAGTTACTATAAAGTCAGTGTCAAGAACTAAGGCCCCTAAACAAGTCATGTAACCAACACATCTAGAAAGCTTTCTTCAAAATATGTATCTACTTATTTTTAAGAACTTGAAAATAATCTTCCAATAACAAGTCATAAGAAAAAGACCTCTTGAAGATCTTTTATTTCTCAAACTTAAAAGTGCACTACACTTTCCATGTAACATTGTGCAATTTGAGAACTGAACAGAGAAAAAACAATTTTGAGCTTCCAGTATATCTCTTATTGCAAATGTCACCTTTAATAACCTGTATGTGTAGGGTAGGCACAAATTAATATCAGTTATTTATATCAAATAGAGCAACATCAGAATTCTTATCTGAAAAGATTTCTCAAAAATAAATACTGCACTTAAATTATCTAAGTTTAAAGAAATTAACCAGTATCCCATGATTACATAAGGAAACATGAATTTTATTCTATAAAGTCATGAGGATTTTTACTCTGCTAGTGACACAAGAATGATCAGAGTATAATGTTACTGTTACTGGGAACTATCTTCTCACTTCCTCTGAATAATCAGGAAAAAGGTATTAAATTATTTAACAAATAAGCTTGGGAAGGATACATTAATTTTCCTTTGCTAACATCCTAGAAATGGAGAATAAGGCAACAACTGAGATAAAAATATATCTTGCTTTGTAAACCAGGCTTCTTAAAACATTTCTTAAAAGTGAACTTTCATGCTGAAAAATTGAGAGGCCTTGAAAGAAAAGCTTTAATTACTTTTACAAAACCACATCTTCTATTTCATTCAATATTTTTTAAACAATCCAAAACATACAGAGAGGGATTTATTTGAGTCTTACAGATGAGTCTTTGGCTTTAAGTAATTCCTTTGTATGGCTAAAAAAGCTTCTACAGTACTCTGCAAGACTAAGTAATGTTCAGAAAATGCCACCAAATTTTATCACAACCTTCTATATTTGTATATTATTGAAGTATTCTCACCTAATTCCATGGAAAAACAACAGATGGTATGTATATCAGTGCCTTCTGAGTTACAACCAGACCTCAAAACACAGACCTTGCTGCCTCAAATGGTTCTTTTTATTCCACTCAAAGTAAATAATATTTACTGACCAAAACCAGAAGATAAAATCATGGCAGGTGACACTGAAGTAACGAAAAAATCATTTCATGAATAGGTTTAAGTCTTAGATATATACAAAAATTGCTTGACATAAACTATTGCAATTTTAAATTACTGCAATTCTTATAATCAGAGAAAAAGAAAACTTCATGATAGACTTCTGAACTCATTTTTCACACTGAGCAAAAAAGTTCACTTTTAAGTTCATTCAATTCTTGATATCCTGCTTTGTCCATTTCTTTGGTATACTGTTCTCATTCTGCAAATTCTAACAGAATTTTAATGGTCATCTTATTTCAAATGAAAGAGTAATGAGCTGAAAGCACGATCAGAACAACAGATGCCATAATACTGCAGAAGATGTTGGTCTTAATGATTTGTCACTTTTTATTCATTTCTTGTAATGATTGGGGGCATCTGCAAATGCAAACTTCAGTCTGTAGGCCTCTGCCAGGAGTACACTCATTTCTTCATTTCCCCAGTGTACAGTGGGCAAATTCTGTAAAAATATCAGCAACTCCTAGATGGAGAGAAAAAATAAGGAATAAATACACTTTTTTCAAATACCAGTGTAAGTGCAATGTTTTGCTTACATAATGATTATTTATTAGTTATTACTCATGTAGCACCTCAGTATCCCAAACAATCCTGAGATCCCACAAGGTTTAGTAATTTTTATGTAACTTGTATAGAAATACTTGGTATTCAGCCTTTCACGGTTCAGAAACCAGCTATTAATTGTAGCTGAACTATGGTTATTTTCTAGTGTTGAGAAAATAAATTAGAAAAAAAAAAAGAAAAAAAAAGGAGGGGGTGTGAAGTCAATTGCTCTAGAAATCCTGTGAGTGAAAGAAAACACCACTGACACTGTCCAAGGGTGTAAATGCTATGTACCTGCATTGGCCCTTGTATGATTATACCACTACTGGTGCCCCTGGTCATTGATGGAAACTCCTTGTCACACTCAGAAAGACAAGAACTCACACACAATGTATCAGAACCACTCCATCAGACTTCTAAGAGGTAATTAGCATTAGTATAGCCATTTTATAGCTCATAATTGAGATACAATGCTCATGGGTATTGGAGTCACTAGAAACTACTAGAAATTTAATTCTGAGCTCTGTAAGACCAAAACGGTTTAACGTGGGACACAGTCTTCTTTTAGATTTGCCTATTTCCCACATTATTTTAGTATCTGATACATCAAACACTCTTGCCAATCCCAACCAAGCTCTAGAAGTTTTCACACATGGTTTTGCATATAGTTTTTTAAAAATCCCACCTGTATTTGTCACATTTAAGACCTTCAACATACTTTTGGTCTGTAACATCCGTTGCCAATATGTCAATAACCCTCTGCTAGGTAATAACAAGAGGAACACCTACACCTCCTCACCTCCTTCCTCTTTAAGAACCTATAAAATATTACTTTTTAATATTTTAAATTATAACCCCTTTATCAGGTGGGTAACAGGCAGACAATTGCAGATAAACCAAATTTGCTGATTACATTGCAGAAGTGCTAGAATTCTTTTCTCTAATTAGTCTTTCCACATGGAAACATGAAGAATATCTGACTTGTGGTGCGGCTGCTTTCTGGGTATATCTTGATTATAGTACAACAAACAAGTTACATTTCTTTCAAAATTAATTACATAGCAATATGGATGAAATTAATCAAGAAAAGTAACTTCAAATGATAATTTGAATTTAATTTGAAAAGGTCCTGAAATGTGGATTCCTGCTTTTGTAAAGCATATGTTTTATTGCAGCAACATGGTATCAGAAAATAAGCTAAATCTCCTGTTGCGTAACACCAGGTTCATAGTTCTATCCTGAACTGTGACGCACGGGATCAAATCCCACTGACTGCACTTGGAAGGATCCTTCCAGAGGGTTACTTGAAAAATCATAGCTTCCTACCATAGAATCACAGAATGGTTAAGATTGGAAGGCATCTTAAAAGTCATCAGGTTCCAATCTTCCTGCTGTGAGCAGGAACACCTCACACTAGACCAGGCTTCACAAAGCCTGGCCTTAAACACCTCCAGGGACAGGCTTCTATAACCTCCCTAGGCAACTATTCCATCACCTTATTGCCCTCATGGCGAAGAATTTCTTCCTAATGTCTAACCTAAATCTCTCCTCTTTCAGTTTAAAACCATTACCACTTGTCCTACCACTGCCCTCTCTGATGAAAAGCCCTTTCCCAGCTTTCCTTTAGCCCCTTCAGGTACTGGAAGGCTGCTATAAAGTGTCCCCAGAGCCTTCTCTTCTCCTATCCTACCACTGAATGGTCAAGAGGGCATTAAATCTGTATGTCTTGTTGCCTATCTAAAGTATTGATTGGCTTCAGGGAATGGAGTTAAACAATTTTATACAAAAACCTCCCAGATATTCTGGGGAGAAATCTCTGACACTAATGCAAACATAAGCTACCCAATGCTCATCTCAATCCTTAGTCCTGGTTTCCCACTCTTTTTTAGCTTCTTGTCCCAGAATATTTTCCTACAGGTCAGTTTTTCCTCTCTTGTATTAGATTTAGGCAAAACTCACTTCCAAACTGCCAAAGCTCAGGAAGACAGGAAATCAGGAGCTCACTAGGACGGTGCCTATATGATCAGTTCTGATGATGGCACCAAAATCCACCACGACCTGCAGCAGCACAAAGCTTCAATGCTCACCTGTCTGCTGAAACTTGCTAGCTGTGAGAGAAGGATTCTGGGCAATAAACCACTACAGATTCTCTCCTGAGTTCATGTAAATGACAACTACACAAGGCTTGCAATTTGACAAAACAAGGCAAGTTAGTTTGTTTCTTTAAATAAATGGTGACCCAAAAGCCCACAAATCCTTCAACCTGATGCAAACATCTCCCTAGGCCACCTATTAAATTCCTGTTTCAAACTTCCAAACAAAAAATCACCTGGAGATCCCCTGTCTCATGCTTTTAATTACTTTGACAAAAATGTTCCTTAAAAATTAAGCTGTAGCAAAACATTAAAAGAGAAGGTTTTGGATGAGTTACATCACAACAAACTGAATGTAAGATTTTATGATCGGAGTTATAAGGCAATCTTAGGAATAAACACAGTTGTTAAGCCTGCTCTTACCTTCTAGGTGCTCTATTTTTGCAGAAAAAAAGGCAGAGAATTTGTGCGCATTTGCCTATATTTGTGAGCATGTCCATATGTGTATTTTCACATTAATATGTTTGTTATGATTTACTCTAAAGGACAGGAATAAGTACGTAGGAATGCAATTAAAAGCACAACCATTATCCTGCTTTAAATCAGGATCCCTCTTCTTCAATAAGGGTCTTATTTTCTTTGCCCCCTCTTCTTCCTCCTCTGCACCTGCTTTCATGGAAGATGGCTGTAGGAGCCCTTAGCCAGGATTCTGTGATTTAATGAAAAAGCAAGGAAGAGAAGCTAACAGTAAGTGATTTTATTTTGTGTGTGAAATAATTATTTTAGCTTCATCTATTTCATGGTCTTGCTATATTGGTTCTTATAACATGAAACAAAAAAAAAGAGAAGTTGAGCTGTACTATATATTTAATTATGAATAGTAAGTAGTAAGACAACAGAGTTAGCATGAGAATGTCTCTATTACACTTGAGTGAGATTTTTAATAAAGTGTTATACAACTGCCAAAATCCCACTTTTTTTTTTTTTTTCCTCCTTATTTGACAGTTATGCTGATAACTGTAATTAATAAACTAGCAGTGCAGAGTAGGAAGGTTGTGTGAAGGGATGATAAATGTCTACTTCCATGAAAGTGAATTTTTTTTCTTTTATGAAGTAACTTTCAACCAGCTCTAAGACACAGCAGTTAATACAATGAGCTTTGTGAAATTAGCTGTTTTACAGTTTGCAGTGCCAAGACCTCAGTGGGTCAGGCTTCTGGCACAATCAGGTACAAATTATTCATATTGCTTGAGCAGTTTTTGGTTCTCCTTTGGGCTGCTGTTCAAATACACACAACCAGAAGTTAATTCCTCATCTTTGGAACAACTATGTTTAATTTAAAAACACAAAAACAAACACAGCAAACAAAAACACCAGCCAAACGAAACACAAAACAAACAACACAGCAAATGCCCCCTACAAATTCCCTGTTTACTTTTACCACCACTTAAAATGTAAAGAAAAATAAGGTTATTTTCAAAATGGTAAAAATCTGAACATTGTAGGGAATGGAATGACAGATTCCTTTCTTTTTTCAGTCCTGACTGACTGACTCTACTGGAGAAATCCCAAGTGCAGGAGCAACAGCTTGGAAAAGAGGTACTATCCATAGTAGAGGATCAAGGTACAGTTGATTTGCACTTCCCCCCCCAAGCAAGTACAAGAAAAAGTGAAGAGATTTCAGCACAGGGCCACTAAATGGGTAAGGGGGCTACAACAGGTGTCCCAGCAGGAGAGCGTGACAGAACTGGGGATTTTTTAGTTATGAGAAGAGAAAGCTAAGTGCTGTTTTCTACTACATACAGTGAGAGTTATGAAGAAGACAGGGGGGCCAAGAAGCAATAGTAACACGTCAAAGCTAAGCTGTCATAAGAAGAAAGTCCTTCACAATGAGGGTGCTTGAGCAGTTTGCCAGGAAGGCCACAGAATCTGTGCACTTGGATTTTCACAACTCCCCTGAAGAAACCCTAGATGAACCTGCCCTTGCTTGGACGCTTAACCTGGCTTTCAGAAGTGTGTTGCTCTACAGACCTGCCTTCCACACTGACATCTTTCAGTATTTTAATATTTTAAAGGATATGGACTTAATTAGAAAAGAAATCCAAAAGCAGAAAAAAAAGCTGCTTAACATTTACTCATTTGATCCACTTCAGGAAACAATAAAGGTGTGCTTCCTATAAGGTAGAAGGAGGACAATCTTTATTTTATTTTTTATTTGGAATGAAAGGATATAGGGAGTTGGTGTAGCAGTGTTGCTGGGTCATACTATGAATAAATTAAAAATCTATATACCACACTAATTTCTTAGTATGCCAAAAGATTTAAGCATATTTAGCATTCTTTGTGTGAGATCTCTGGTTTATGCTGATGTATTGTAAATCACATTTCTGAAATAATTCTTCAGCACATTTGAAATTCAACATATTTACTACCAAACAAACAAAACCCCTCTTTTATACAATTTTACTCATTGTATTTTCCACTACTTTGACTGCATTTGGATATACATGACAACCCACTGTCCTGGCTCAAACCAGGACACCCACGTAAGTGCTTTTGTAAGGTATGCTAACGTATGCTAAAACACTTTATATATCATGCTCAACTATATGACAATATATATAAAGTATATTAAAACACCGCAAGCAGCCATATAGAATTAATTTTAAAGTACATATACTTTTATAATGTCATATTCCTTAGATAAATTAATACTTATTCCTATTCACCATATAATCAAGACAAGACAGTATTTAACTTGCTGCAAATGTTCTGGTATAGAACTACCTTTAGAAGAAAAGTTAAAGTATGAGGTTAATGTTTTAAA